TTATTTGGCCCTGCCTTGCAGATTCTTCATCAAACCCTAAGGCTCCATTCCAGAACCTTCCTAAGGTAAACTCAACATCCTGTGTGATTAGAACTTGATCACTTCATGTCATCAGACATCTCTGCAATTGGCACCTACTTTTCTATTTTTACTCTTTCTTCTCTCACTTTTACAGACACAACATGTCGCATGCACTTATGTTTACTCGTCTGTAAAATGAAGATGATACTGCCCTGCATATCTCCTAGAAGCTTTGAGAATCTGATGAGAGAAAGTCCTTGTAAAGCACACAAAATGCCCTACGAGCTAGGAGACACATTCTTTTTTTTTTTTTTTTTTTTGAGAGGTTTTTGCTATAGGGCACATGCGCTCATCAAAAAGACAGAGACAGACAGAGAGACAGAAAGCGAGAAATCACCCCCAGGGGGGATGGCCATGCCGCAATCCCTTCTCCTCCATTCTCCTCTCGGGATCTTGGGCACGCACGCACACACGCCTGGCATGAGTTTTAAGCCACCGGGTCCGGGATGCGAACCGCAGTTGGCTACATGGGGGTCCAGCGACATAGCCATTATGCTAACTGCTACTTTAGACCCATCAACCTGTGAGCTTGTTACTAACATGGCAATCCCTTCTTGGAGTCCAGCAGAGTACTTAGAACACAGTAGATGCTCAATAAAATGGTGTTTCGTGAATTCAAGACAGGAATAGGAACATAGCTTTTAGGACTGCAAATGACTGTCAACTCTCTGTTACCATGAGCTGTTTCACAGCCCAACCCTGGGATCTGGCCTACAGCATAGCAGCTGGAGTCAGAAAAATCTGGTTTTGAATCTCAGCTCCACAGTTTACTGTCTGCGAGAATTTAAGGAACTTAACTATCTTCTTCAGGGCTCAGTTTTCTCTATAAAGTGGGGAATGAGAATAATACTCATGGCTACTGTGAGCACTAAGAGTTTCTAGGATGATGGGAGGCAGTGGTAAGTGCTCCATAATTCTGTAATTCTTCCTTTCTCTTTGTACCCTCCCTAGCCTCAGTGCCTCTCTCTTCATAATGAGTCCAGCGGAAGGACGGAGAGGGGCAGCTGATAACAAAAAACTGAGAATGTGAGCTTTGGGACACATAAGCAGCAGTGTTCCCCTATCACCTGGATCTAGCCCCTCCTTCCCTCTCTCATCCTGCCAAGGACATTGAACAAAAAGTATCTAGAGTGGACTGGCAGTCCCTGTGCCATTTGTTTTCCTGGGCAGGCTGCCTGCAAAATCATTAAATACAATATTTTTTTAAAAAAATCAGCAAATCCCAATTGCTTGACCTTGAAGGCAAAGAGACAGACAGATAGACAACAGATGCAGAAGAATGAGCCAGAAGGCCTGAGGGCCCCACAGCTTGGGGCAGGGGAGAAGGTAGAGGCAAGGATGAAATGAAGGCAACACGATAAGTATGCACAAATATGGATGCTCACCACATAGTCGAGTCCCTTTTCCACCAGATAGTCAAGCAGATTTGTGGTAAGACCAGGCCTCCATCTCTGCCAGTACTACTGAAACCAAGGTCAATGTCAAGTCCTAACACTGGCCCAATGAGAACCCTAGCCAACAGGAGCTTGACTCAGAAGAAATGAAAAGGAAATGATAAGCAATTGCTCTTTGCCAAATCTCTTTCTCCTGTATACTTGTCTGTTCCTTTCCCATCTATAGTATTTCCCTGGTTTATAAAAACTAGCTTGGTAGGGCCAGCAGGTGGTTAAGGTGCTAAACTCCTACATAGCTGACCACAATTTGAGTCCTAGACCTAGCAGCTTGAAACTCACATCAGAAATATAGGTGTGCATGCCTAAAATCCCAAGAGGAGAATGGAAGAGAAGGTATTACAGCAATGATCATCCCTCTTGGGGGGTGATTTCTCACTTTCCCTCACTCTGTCTCTCTCTAGTAAAGTGAGCATACCCTATGGTAAACAAAAATAAACTAAAACTAAAAACAGAAATAAAGCAAAACAAAACAAAACAAAAAAAGCTGGCTGGTTTCTGTCTTAAGACTACTACAAGGGAATGTTACATTCATCTATTAAATAGGTTAGAGCCAGACTAGAGACTTACATTCCTGTCTGTTTGCCTCATGATTCTAGTCTCATAGATAGCTCTTCCTTAAACCATGCCCTTGGAGCAAAGCTTTTCCTACTGCTACTCTTACTTCTCTTCTTTGGAAGCAGGTCACTGAAAGCTACTTTCTGTAGAACTGGCCTTCCTCAGGCGGTGCCAGGCTGAGTTAAACTGATTGTCCTCCAGCAGAAATCAAGGCTGAGGTAGGTGGAAAGCAAGCTTTCCAAGTACTTGCCTGCAGGGACTCTTCAACTTAGTGTTTGGTCTGTCTTCAAACAGTATCCATGCCTTTGTGTTTATTTCCTGTGTCCCTATACAAGGAGGGCATGTTTTTTTTTTTAAATAATTATTTTATTTAGCTTTATGTATGTATTTATGTATTTTAATTTGACTAGAGAGGGACACAGAGAGAGAGAAAGTGAGAAAACAAGCCGCCAGGTCCAGGACTCAAACTGCAGTTGACCATGTGGGAGTCCCAGCGCCCTTAACTACCATGCCACTTGCTGGCCCTGGGGGTAGTTTTTAAAAAATATCAGCTGTTAGGTGTCTTGGCTTTTGGGTTACTGATCAATGTTGCCCATTTCTCAGAACAGCTAAGGAAATCTCTGGGCAGGTGTAATGTTGACTGCAAGGAGAATTCATAAGTGTTTTCCTTACTCTTGAGTGGATTGGGGTGGCTAACCTCACTTTCTTACCAATTGGGATCCTTGAATCAAGTTCTCAGCACAAAGGATGGTGGATTGGGAATATGAGAGCAAAGGGAACTCGCCTCGCAATGAGAAACATTCAGTATGTGGAGACCCTTGCTGGTCTCTAACCAGGCTTCATTTCACTTTCAGTGCCCTTCAGCAGGGGCACCTCCTCTGGATAGACCAATTGATATCCATGGTCAGATCCAAATATCCAGGTGCTATGGTCTGAATGTGCTCCCAAAATTTATGTGTTGGAGACTTAATCCCAAAGAAACCGTGTTGGGAAGTGGGGCCCTTTGGTAGGTGTTTAGGTCATGAGGGTTCCACCATCATGAGTTGGTTAATGCCACTATAAAAAAGGGCTTATGGGAGTGGGTTTGCTGTCTTTTGCCCATCTGCCTCCTGCCATGTGAGGACACGGCAACAATGTGCCATCTTGGAACAAGAGACCAAAACTGCTGGTGCCTGGATCTTTCCAGCCTCCAGAATTGTGAGAAATAAATTTTGGTTCTTCATAAATTACCCAGTCGGTGGTATTGTTATGGCAGCAGAAATGAACTAAGACACCAGGTGTTTGGCTTCTGGGCACTTAATACTCCCTGTTCACTGCCATTTCCCTCTCAAAAAGAAAAAGGGTGAAGCAGGAAAAAGGAAAGTTACATTTTCTGAGCAAATATTGGTTGCCAGATACCATTTTGGGCCTGTTCTATACATTATCCTATTTCTCTCTGTCTTATATTCAGGGTGGAGGTTGTACCTAAGGTGCAAAAAATTTCATTGATTGGGATTCTGTTAGAGTCACACTACCATCAATTCATGCATGACCTATTTGGTTTTATTTCTATTTTTTATTCACTTGACTTTATTTCTTTCTCCATTTGTCACCTTTCCTCATTACATCTCCTTTCCTGATTAACACCCACTCTTGTGTCTTTGATTTACATGAATGACATTATTGTATATATCTGTTTTTGCCCCTTTGTTTCATCTAATACCAATTGTTAAGAGTTAATTCTGGGGACCAGCAGTTAGCATAATGGCTATGTTGCTGGACACCCATGTGGTTCAAGTCCCAGACTCGGTGGCTTAAACTCACACCAGGCACATGTGCGTATGTGCCCAAGATCCCGAGAGGAGAATGGAGGAGAAGGGATTGTGGCATGGCCATCCCCTCTGGGGGGTGATTTCTCGCTTTCTGTCTCTCTGTGTTCCTGGCAAGCACATATGCCCTATAGCAAAAACCTCTAAAAAAAAGAAAGAAAGAAAGAAAGAAAGAAAGAAAGAGTTAATTCTGTTGATATTTATAGATCTGATATATGTTCTTTTTAATTACTGCATAGTAGTCTATGATTTGCATACTTTGCATTTTATTTATCCATTTCCCTGTTGACAGACATTTAGGCTGTTTCTGATTTCTCTGTATTACAATATTGCAACAAATATTACCAGGCAAGCCACTTTGTGTACCCCTGATAGTAGTTCTTGGAGGATATATACCCAGAAGTAGAATTGCTCTGTCATAGGGTATATAAACATATAAATTCTCTAAATGCTTCCAAATTCCTCTCCAAAATGGTTATATTTGTTTATATAATCCCTAGCAGAATGTGAAGACCCTTGCCTCCTTATATTGTTACCCATACTTGTTATTAGCTTATTCTTTTTTAATGTTTTGCCAGTCTGATATATTCAAAGTAATATCTTACTGCTCTTTTAATTTGTCTTTCTCTGATTATAATGAGGTTGGACATATCTTCAGATGATAAATATCTACTTACTTGGGCTTTCCTTTCCATAACTTGCCTATTTAGACATTTGATGTTTTCTCCATCAAGTTTGCTGTCTCTTGCTTGCTCTATGTGTCCTGAATATTCATCTTTTCTGCTCATATATATAACAAATATTTTCTCCAAATCTGTCATTTCCCTGTTCAATTTGACCACTATTCCTCTGTAGAATGGAAAGCCTTGCTTTTTATGGATTATAATAAAAGTTATCCATTTTCTTCTTCATGATCTGTACTTACTACACCTTGTTTCAGAAAACCTTCCTACCCCAATACTGCAAAGATATTCTCCTACATGTTCTACTAAGAGTTGTATAGTTTTGCTTAGTCTTCAGTACCTCTAGAGTTTATTTTGTACATAATGTGAGATAAGCATTTAGTCTTATTTTTCCATATAATCAATTTTTCAAATATCACCTTGTTATATCTGTTATACACAACATAGACCTTTCCTGTGGGTCTCAGCTCCTTAGCAGTATATTGAGAAACATTTGCTGAGCTTTTACTGTGTTCAGAGCCCAGAAGAAGGATTCTAGTGGAGTTTATGATGCAGAACCTCCTTTCAGGAAACATGTCATCTATCTGGAAGAATAAAAAGTGGGCCCAAGAAAAGGGCTTGAGAGTATATACAAAACAACACCTAGGCAAGGATAAATAAAGACCTTGGAAGTTGGGAATACAAGTTTAGAGGGTTAAAAAGGGACTAGCATACCTATTCCTAGGCTGAGACAGATGAAAGAGTTGGACTAGTGGTACAGGGACACCATGTGATAGCTCCATATGTGGATGCTCATCTAATCAAGCTAGCTTTATACAGTAGCCACAGAATGAAAGAGGAGATAGGAGACCCCAGGAATTCACCATTTGCTATAGCTTGGCTTTGCTAGTGCACTCATGCCCTTTTCCCTTTGTACTGCTCCTCAGCCCCAGGGTACCAATTAAAAAGGAAGCAAGGTCAGTTTTGACTTTGGTCCAAGTATCCAGTCTACAAAATCTCCCTGAATCAGCTGTCTTCCTTCTCAGAGCCATAGACAAAATTGAAGAGAACTATTTATGAAATAATAGTGATAGTAATAATAACAACAACAGTTATTACTATATAATAACCTCACAGATCTTCTGGAGCCCACATTTTTTCTATGTTGGTCACCAGTGGGAAGGGAGGCAGCTGATCAAAAGCGATTTTGTAAACTGGGTACCTGTACTCCAGTCAAAATGGACCTTACAGGTGACCAGACATTGGTACAGTGGTATATGCCTCTGTGAAGCTGACCCACAGGTTCACTTCCAGAGACCTCTCTGAGTATACCAGGCACTGACTTGCCCATGATCTGGGGCTGGCTGAGGCTGGAGATGTACTGCAATACCAAGACCCTGTTGGGGGTGTTTTACCTTTCTGTTTTGCTCATGGAAGAAATAAATATATAAACTTTAAAGAAAGAAAGAAAGAAAGAAAGAAAGAAAGAAAGAAAGAAAGAAAGAAAGAAAGAAAGAAAGAAAGACAGACCTGGGGGTGTGGGAGACACAGAGCAGGAATTTCCCTTTTCCTGGGGACCTCCTTTATCCTAACCTGACTATGTTTGCCTATGCCTTTCCTATTCAGTGGTCTGAAAGGAAAAACTGTCCAGGCTTCCAAGAACTTCAGTGCCTCCACTTGCTAGCAGCCTTGTCTGCCTCAGGAAACTCCACCATCGCACAAAGGTATAACATCTTGCTTCCAAACTTGGCCCTCCTAGGAGTCTGCACTGCAAAGTACACACCAATTATCCTTAGCAGGGCAGCCTGTATTTAGTGTAGCCAACATCAGGAGCTGATTTTGCTCCTAGTAATCTTCTTCTGCTTTAGTGGTTTGAGACTCTGGAGGAGTGGGTGGGTGGGGGGCAAACAGAAAGCAATGGAGGTGGAGGAAGAAAGGCAAACAGAACTCATCAAAACCAACAAACAAAAAAGCTCAAGCTCCCAGCTCCTAAATCCTCTCAGGGCCTACTCCTCACCATGGCAACAGTAAGCCTCCAGGCCTCCTCAATCCTCCATCCAGTTGTTAGTAAAGAGCAGTGAGGAGGCTGGCTGCTTTCCCTGGGATGATTTCAATACTGGAAAAATTAAAATGGTCCTGAAGAGATGTGAAAGTTAAAGAAGAAAAGTGGTAGAGAGAGCAAAGGGCACACTGAGGTGAGAAATGGCAAGTTTCTACTAGTGACATCTCTCAGGAACTCTCTTGGGAGAGGGCCTCCAATGCCAACTTCCATTAACCCTCACCATTCTCAGTGAAGGCCAACCCTGCCCACTCTCTTTCCCATTACCCTCAGGCAAGACACTGCAGTATGAGGGAAGCTTCAGTGATGTACCAGTCAGCTCTTTTTGGCACAATATGATTTTCCCCTTCTTTATCCAAAATCAGGAAGAGGAGACAGAAAGTAAAACTTGGTAGAGTAACCACTTTTACCTCACCCAGAAGGTCATCCATGAGAGTATAGCTGTCCAAAGAAACAAGAGGTATGCTCCTCAGGAAAGATTCCTGTCAACTCAGCTTGTCTGACCTCCAACTCTCCCTCACTGGGCTTCCCAAAGGCACCATTGCCACAACTTTGTTTTGGTTCAGTTTGACCACTACAGGTTTTGACCCCCAAATGGATAGCCACGTGCCAATGCAGGCAATTCTTCAAGTCCTTTCAGAGACTGTAAAACCCCCACTGGCTACTGCTTTGGCAATGATCTTTCCTAAAAAACTGAGACTGGACTTGGACATGGGGTTAGAGCCAGATTCACTGGTTCACATAATGAGCTAGGCCTTGAGACCTGAGGCTAGTCCTCCAGGCAGCTTGTATCAGTCCTACAGCACATCAGTGTGGGTGAATTCTTAGATTCTTTCCTAAATTCATGCTTTGAGAAGGAAAGGGAGGGAGTAAGTTGTGAAGGAAGGACTTAGGGGAGGCCCCTGAGAGTTTTGCTCATGTGCACAGCTAGTGTTTTCATTTTGTTTTTCTAGTGGTCTTGGTTTTCCCTACTGGAAAGGAAAGTGGATGTGCCTTCCTCCTTAAAAACATGACTTTCCTTCCTCTGTATGTGCCCTCATGCCTGACATCATATGCACACTCTTCCCCATTTCCTTAGTGAGCAGCTGCGTCCCAGAGTCTGAAAAAATAATCATCTCCCCTTCTGCCTCAGCCTCCAAGACCAGAATAAGTTAAAGGTATTAATTTCTGAGCTGGGGTGGAGCCTTGATTTTACTCACTCACTCACTCATCAAACATAGAAAGTCACTAGACTTTCCATGAGGCAGGTGATTTTTCTCACCACTGTGTCTCTAGTGCTTCTCGGTACATAGTAGGTAATCAATAAAGATTTTTTTAGAATGAAGACTACTATGTGTATAATCTCAGAATTTGTTGATCACTTAAATAATAGCAGAATCAAAAGCTTTGATTTATCAAATAACCATGATGTGCCAGGGCCTGTGGTAAGTACTGCAACAGACACTCTAAAATTTATGACATCCGTGAGGGACAAAAACTGTTATTAATTCCACTCCACAGATGAAAATAGTGAGGCTCAAGGATGTTAATTAATTTTCCCAAACTTACATGGTTAATTAATGGCATGACCTGGTAACAAACTCAGATCCCTTGGACTCCAAAGCCTGTCTCCCTACACCTCTGGTGATAGGAAAGTGAGGTCACTATTTGTGCCTCTGACATGTCAGTTAGCTTTGCAGAGAGTTCCTTGGCCACATACTTCGTTCTTAATTTTAGCAAATCAGTTTGTCCAAAGAGGCCCAGGTGAGCGCTTGTGGGATGCCAAGTGCACCTTGTTAGCTATAAATATCTTTTACACAAGTACAAAGTTTTATAGTTTATGTAACACTTTAAAAAAAATCTCTTATAGTCTTCACAACAGTTATATGAGAGGTTCTGTTACTGTTACTCGGTTTATAGATAAGGGCAAAGAGGCTCAAGGAGGCTATGCACATTTCCTAAGTTCCCGCAGCTAAGAAGTAATAAACCTGGGCCTCAGGTTTATTAATCCACTCTTTTTTGATTCTAGAGTATAAACCACTGGGTCCCCTTAGCATTTAAAATGTTGGAAACATTGCTTTGTGCCACCTACCAATTCCCACTAAAGATTGCTGCCTTCTCTGCAGACAAGAATGAGCAAGGGCCCCAGTGGTGAACCCAAATTGTCAATTGGGAAGAAGCCTTGCATCTCCCATGCGCTGTTGGAATTAGAAGCATATCACCTTGCAGGAAAGCCTTTTCGTGTCTTCTCCTCAAAGGTGCTGTCTAAGAATTAGCCCCTTCGCTGCCACCTCCAACCCCTGCAAAGTAGGAATGTGTGCTCAGATGCAGTGCAAGCTGTCGAGTTGCTTCTGTGACTTTGTTTTTGTTCCCCCTGGCACCTAAATGAGTACTAGAAATGCATGTCACTTCTTCCCTCCATCTGTCCTCTTTTCCCTCTGAGCACTATTAATCATATTGAAAGTCCAATGAATAAAGAAAACAGGCCACCACCCCTAGAGATGACAACACTGCTCTATGGAAATAAGCACTGGTCATAAACAGATCACTGATTCACAGAAAAGCCACCAGATTACTGGGGATTTTGTACCAGCCTAAACAGGATTAACACCTAAGTGGTGAAGAGACTTTGACAAGGATGCATCAGAATTCTACTAGTCATTCCTGCATGGCATCTTCCTCCTCACCTCTGCTGCTGTCACACACCCCTCCCATAATAAGCTGCAGTCCTTCTCTGCCTCTCCCACTGTCAAGGGACTGTTCTCTGAAAGAATAACATTTCCTGGGCTTCCTTCACTGAATTATTCATCTTTGCTGCCTGGGAACGACAAAACTTCTCATTAAAAGCCCTGGGTGGGAGGGCGCTACCGACACAGCCCCCACAGCTAGACTGAGAGAATCCAGGGGCTGGAAGGGGAAGATATGGTGGCTGGACTGGGAGGCTCCCTACAGGGGCTGTGAGAGGGCAGCCCTGAGAATCAGGGCTCTGGCAGTGACTGGAAGGAACACACACACGGGAGGCTCATGGCCTTGGAGTGACCACGCTACTAGTCTGGGCTGTCGCCCTCCAAAGCTTTGGTCAAACCCAGAAAGCCTGTTCCCACCACTGCTTCCCAAGCTTACAACTTCTGTGCTGAGCAACCAAAGAGACTCCTTCCATGGGATTGAAGGGGCCTCAGCTTCCTGTCTAGGCCGTCGAGACTCTGCTTGGCTGGGTAAAACGGACATCTTACCCCTTATCGTGTCTACAGGGACTGGGCCATGGAAGGAGAACAGCCTGGGTGGGAAAGAGCACCCACCTGCTTGTCTCAGCTCTGGCATCGTCTGGCTGTGTGGCCCCCGGGACACCAAGGGCTACAGCCATGAAGACCCTGGGTTCTGGAGCCTGCTGCCCACGTCACATCCCAGCTCTGCTTCTGAGACCTACGTGCTCCTGACAACCTGTGTAGCCTGTCAAAGCCTCAGGCTCCTCATCTACAAAATGGGAGCAGCTGCACCTGCCTCAAAAGACTGCTGAGCACACGTGGAAAGCAGGCAGCCCACGGCCCCACGAAACCCTCAAGAAATGCTGGCAGTGGCCTCTGGTCAGAGCTTGATCCATTCAGCAAGGAGCCATCAGGTCTATCCTGGTGATGTCATGTCCCCGAAGGTGCTGTTTGCAGGTTGCCTGAGCCACTCCCTCAGAATATGAGCAGCTCGATGCCCGTGCCTGTGGTTTCAGGCAAAGGCACACTCGTGAGCCCTGCTCCTCCATTTGCCCACAGCCTTGGAAGCACCATAACCTTGCAGACCGAAGCTCCCTCCCCCAGGTCTCTGCACATGATAGGGATGAGACAAACACTGAGGGCCACCCTCAAGGAAACAGGAAGGCTGAGGATCCAGAGACTGAGGGAATCAGGGCTAGAAGAGCAGCAAGGCCCAAGGCCCGCCCTATCCTCCCCCACCGTAGGCCTCAGTACCTGGTCAACCTGGGGAAAGTAATCTCCCCTGGCCTCTTGCCCAAGTCCTGGCTACCCTGGCTTCTGTGTTTGCTATACATTTGCAGAGTGACTTTGGATTCTTCCCAGAGATGGGAACTTACAGAGAAGGGGCCCAGGCCCTTGGTTTGTTGTGTTCAAGCTGTAGATGATGTCACTAGAAGCCTTGCCAGGCAGGAGTGACCCACACAGGCACTGCCTCTCAGCCTTGTGGTTCCAACCAGGAGAGCCCCAGCACCTCCCCCTCCATTCTTGCATTTGTTCATCCTGCATTCATTCACCAATTCACAGACATAAGCTGGCACTTACCCTGGGCCTGGCCCCTATGGTGCACCGCATGAGAAAAGCAAGCCCAGGCCTCATCTCATGGAGACTGAAGTCTAGCAGGGAGGGGCATCTGTGAAGAACCAGGCACAGGGATGTGAGATTACACATTATGATGAAGACAGTAAAATAAAGAAGTGCTGGCAGAGTCCGGAAGGAGGCCAGAGGAGAACTCTGAGGAGATGAAGTTTAAATCTCCGCCCTGAGAAAGAAGGCACCGGCCAGGTCGAGAGTTGCAGGAAAATTGATGCAGGTGGGGGGCGAGGTGTGTCCCTGTCCCCGTGCCAGTGCCAGGGTGTCTCCAACCCTTCTGTCCTGGCGCAGTTAGGCTCCCTGAGGTCTGGATGCCTGTTGGTTCCCACTTGGCTAACAAAGGCTCTGGGAGCTGTCCCATCCCAACCCTGGGGCTTTTCAACTCCTTGGCGACAGAGCAGAGTTTCAAGGAAAACTTGGTAATTGGGGGATGCCTGGTTGGTTCCCACTTGGCTAACAAAGGCTCTGGGAGCTGTTCCCGGGGGATTTTCAACTCCTGGGCGACAGAGCACAGAATCCCAAGGAATACTTGGTAGTTGGAGGATGCCTGGGCTGCAAGGCCCTCAGAAACTTTAATTTAGCAGGTCAGAGTGGGGTCCACGAATGTGCATTTTAACAAATTTCCCAGGTGGTTCTAATGTTGTAGAAATGTGGAGAATCTATTTACATACTATATATAGTATTGTGAAATATGGCTTGGTGGCAGTCCTGGCCATTCTTGCGAGTGTGGATTAAATAGTAAGTTTCTCTCCAGAACCCTCTCTTTATGTAATTTTTCTAATGTCAATCTCTAAAGAATGAGGGTTCCCTTCAGCTTAGGGCTTCTGACTGGGTTTTTTCTTAGGATAATCAATCATTTCAGTTTGCCTTTTACTTTTCCAGTTTCAACATTGGAAATTCTATGTCCCAGCACGTCCCTCAGTCCTAGGCAATCTGGGATGATTGGTCACTCTAGTCTTCTACAAATGTGCCCATCTGGTTTCACCCTATTTTTATACAAAAGTGCCCACCTGCAAAGGGAGTCTTCAAGCTGGCTTTGTTGCCAGGTGGTTAGGGCAGTTAGATCCCACATGGCTGGCTATGGTTTGAGTCCCAGACCTGGCAGCTTGAGAAACACA